AGCAGGCTGGGAGTATTATGAACTTGGAATTGTTGGCGGTCCCTTTGCCTTAATATACTGCTTACATACAGTTTGGTTTTGCAGTTTCAGAGTATTGGAGGCTTTATAACTTGAAAGGGCAATACTGTGTGGATTACTGGAGTAAAAGATAAATAGTGTGCACTGAACCACTGGAAGCCTGCATGACAGCAGGTCTTTTCAATGGAGCTGATGCCTCTCTGTCTGAATTTTGCAAGGCACTGATCTTTACCTGTAGAGATTTATGAGCTCTGAAAGGGGGTATGAATAGCAGGCTGGCAAGGAAAATAATTGAACTTAAAAATACAGTTTTTCAATTTGACCTGTTAGTTATTTCTTTTACCCTTCCTGTCTGCCACTTGCTGGATATGTAGTTTTATAAAATTTAAATAAAATGTAATGTGTGTAGCTTGGCTGGGCCTGACTTTCTGACAGAATCTGTATGATTCTTTAAAAAAAGAAAATAAATTATTTCTGCATCAGAAGAACGTAGGACTGTGGGCTATTGCTTTTTGCCTTCTATGCATTACTAGGTTGAACAGTAATAATAAAAAAATCAATTTGAAAGTGTCTATGAGATGAAGGAGTGAAAACATAACCAGAAAAGAAAAGCAATAAATCAGTGGTATGCATGTTCCTACTTATAATAGTAAAATATCCATATTAACTGAACCTCATAATTTACCTAAGAATACTGGACAGCTTTGGCAGAGAACAAGGAGAGAAGTGAAAGAAATTGCAGTGAGCCAGTTGTCATCAGCACTAATATTTGTTCAACTTAATGAGAGTTAAGGGTCCAGATCCTACTGGTGGCTGTGAAAATCCTGATCCAAGCATCACTCAGCTCTCCATCCCAGAGGACATGCAGGACTGGCTACAGGGACCTGGGTGCATTTTGTATGGCTTTAAGACAGGCATTGGCTCACTTGCTCCAGAACGCAGCATGTCAGCCAAGCAGGAAAGGCTTGGCCACAAAGGTCGAGGACTTTCCTCAGATGCAGACTGGGGTCTGCATTTGGATGGAGTCTTCTGCTGCTTCTTGTTTTACAAATAATGTGCCTTTCCATGCCCATGAGCTGCAATGGTGCAACCGCTGCAAAGGGAGAAAGAGCTGGACTAAGCTTTTACCCTGGCCCTGCTTTGGTACTCGGCTCAGCCATTGCAGCAGCTGTTGGATGTGGAAACAAAAGCACTGCTCGAACAGCAGTGGCATGCTGGGACAGCTGGTGGCCTTGGGAAGGACATCCCTCTGGGTTCCAACTCTGGGCCCAGGTCTGTGAGGTTCTCATACTGATTTCAGGCAGGAGCCTGACATAGGCAGTCCAGGCAGGATCAGAGTCACTGAAGCTCTAGCTTTAGCTACTTAACACTTCATGACTGAAGATATTTTGTTAAACAAAATAAACAGTTTGAAGTCTATGTTTTCCTATCAAGCTGGCTGGGAAAGGAGTTGCTTTGGTAGAACAGCATGCATTGCTTCAGGGCCAGAAGGCTTTTCATTGCAAGGATTCTGGCCTACTGAGCAGAAAGAAAAATGTAGCATCTCTGCAGAACTTGCAACAGCAATTGTTCCTCTTGTCATTCACAATGAAAGTAGCGTAAGAGGG